TTGTATAGTAATTTTATTCAGAATTTAAAAATTTAAAAATATATGGGGTGTTTATTTTAAAATAACAAAGTTGATCTCAGTTCCGGTTTAACCGGAATTGGCATTTTGATCAAATTTTAAAATTTCAAATCGATATCTTTTTTCGTTTTCCAGCAACTTCTAATGAACCACGAATGTGAAACACCCTGTATATATACAATTGTCGATCCGATCGACAATTGTCGATTAAAAATTGTATTAAAAAAAAATATTGTTGTTGGCCCTTCTACGCCTTCGTACGATTTTGATAATTCTATATTGCAATTTTTTTTTCAAAATCTTTAAAAAATTTAAAGTTTTTGAATTGCTATTAGAAGCGCTCACATTTCAAGTTTGCAAAAAATTAGAATTTTAGATTGTATTTTTTTTTTAATTATATTATAAAAAAAATGAGCAATTTTAAATGTCAACAAATCAATTTTCCTAAAGTATGTCGCTGATACAAAAAAATAAATAATAATAATATTTTTGGGGCAATTTTTTTTTCAAAAATCAATAATTAATTACAAATCACAAAACTACAACAGTAAATGGTTAGTATGACAAGACAAAAAGATAAATGGAACGATGAAAAAGATTAATTAATTTGATAGTCCTTACAGTTGCTGCATATTGGTTTACTAATTTCAAAAAGTCTCCCCCTTCCAACCAAAATTGACGTGTCTTGGCTTTTGAGCAAAGAAAACAGTTTTCTTTGTATTGTGGCTTTTGCCAATAATTTAAACAGCAGCCGAGTTATTTAAGGAAACACTGTGTTCAATCTAAAACAAATATAAGATAACTTGTAAGGGCTGCGTCAAGGCTAATAATATTGATATTAAATATATAATATATATATTAAATATATTATAAAAATTTCTTGCAGCAAATACATAAATCAGTATGCAGTGCATTTTTTTCAAAAATAAGAAAATACGTTAGCTTTTCTTCATTGCCAAGCATTTTTTATATAAAACTGCTTAAAATATTAAAATATAGTTTGGCATATGGCCATAACTTTTTTTTACCCCAACCTTTAAAACACGTACATCGTACATGATTCCATGACACTAAGTGATATTTTAAATACACATTGACAAGCTATTACTAATATACTGCCATGTGTGGCACAATAACTTGATAACTTATCCAAATGTGATTAAGGATGAAATTAGCAACAGGTTTTTAGTCACGGGCTGAAGCTAGTTTTAAGTTAGTTGACAGTTGTCAAATGTCATACAATCGTTGAAATAAAGTGCCTTTCTTGTAAAATAATATAAATGTGAAAATTATTTTATTATCTCAATACAAAAATACAAAAATATTAAATAGCTTCTCAACGCCAATATTTGAAAAGTTTATATGAACATTGTACTGACCTTTTAATTTCGCCGGCAGTAAACTATAACTTAAATTCGGGCACGGACTCTACTTCACTGTGAAATACATTTCGATTTATAACCTTTATAATTGTGTTTATAAAATGTAAAAATGTGACATTTGACAGTTTCCCCTGTTGTTTCATAGATGGCGCTCTATACAAATTTTTGTTTTAAATCATTTTAAGATAATAATAAGTATTTGTCGTAGAAAAAGTATAGTATGCACCTCGTTTACAGTCATTAACATAAGCACCCTAAATTAAATTCGTGTATAAAATGGCGTTTATATATACTATTATTAATATTATTATTTAATATTAATACTATTATTTTATTATTATGAATTAACCTAGGTTGACACTGTTTGTTTTAGTGAATAAATAATGAAACTTAATTTAATTCCTTAACAATTCCCAACATATTTAACAAAATGCCAACCATTAATGGAACCTTCGCGTCGCTCCATTTCAATGCATTGTCCGAAGTTATAAAGTAACTTAAACTTAATGTTAAACACTATTAATAGCCCGGGTACTCTTCGTAGGAATGCGTTCATTCAGTTTACAACTTGTTTAGTTGATTACCTTTATTGTTTCGTTTTGCATATTGTTTTAGTTATTTTTTTTTAATTGTCCTACATAACCCAACACACAAGTTTATGCATCCAATTGTTTTATTAATTAAAAAACTGTAAAAAAACTAGATTCTTAAGTGGGTTCTTTTTAAAAATTAAATAACAAAATCTTATATGGTGGTTATCATTAAGTGTGCAAAACACAACTAGGTATATCTAGATTTTTTTAGTTTTTAAAATTAATTACACTGTAGGTAAATTTTTAACTCTTAAAATATCACAGCTGAACGCTTGGACACGTAAACATAATTTTTGGTCGTAGATTCCAAATCCGTGCTCGGTTTAGCTGTATCAGGTCTAAAAAAGTTTTTTCTATTGGCAATCCGATCCGGAGACACACTGTATACCGGTATATTATAATTTTTAAAATATTATATTTTACCTCTTGTGCCAATATTATCATGCTTTTTTATTTCTTTTAATATAATATCCTCAATAATGTTAAATAAAAAAAAATCAGCAAAAAAAACATTTGGGCATTTTCTAAATTATCTAAGAAAAACCCTCAGGGACACGTGTTCCTTTTGATCAATTTACTTTAAATTTTGCAAATTTGTTTTTTTTTTAATTTGAAACTGATGTTTCTAACTGATGGTGGGTTCAGCCAAATTGAATTTTTTAAAAATTTATATAGGGTATTTATTAGGGTGCTTTTTTATAACGACTATTTTTATTTTTTCGCCCCCAACTCAAAATCTTGTTGAAAATGTTCCAAAAAAATTCCCTGAAAATTTGAACCCTTAATATTAACTCAAAGTACTCTACCAAAGCGTATAAAGATTTCCCATTTAAAATACACGTAAACTTTGATTTTTTTTTAAATATCTATATCTCAGCCGCATTTTATGCTATTGGATTGTTTCAAAAAAGGATTTACTCGTAATCAAAAGTTCTACAAAAATGCTGTATGTACCATACCTGTAATCTGCACCTGTAGGATGGTACGGGTCACTAAATCCTATTTTAGTGAAAAATTCTACTATTTTTGAAGATATTTTAAAAGTGACTGAATTCTTTGAAAAAATGTAAAGGACAAACTTGTAGAAAATTTAATTTTCTTTAAAAAAGGTATTATCAGTTGAATCGCTAAGATTGATATTTGTTGAGATATAAAGCGTTTACATTGACATTTTATGAAATTTTCAGGATTTTCGTACCAAACTTTTTAAAATGATGATTTTCAATTGTTTATCAGTACAATTTCATGTAATTACGTTTTTTCTACAGTCGGGTGATAAGAGAAAAATAAATAACTAATCCAGCATAATTATTAATAAAATAACATGTTGTATGTAATATACCTTTTTATATCAATTTTTACGTTAGATATATCTTTTCTCTTTATTTTATTAATAATTATGCTGGATTAGTTATTTATTTTTCTCTAATCACCCGACTGTAGAAAAAACGTAATTACATGAAATTGTACTGATAAAAAATTAAAAATCATCATTTATAAAAAGTTGGTACGAAAATCCTAAAAATTTCATAAATTGTCAATGTAAACGCTTTATATCTCAACAAATATCAATCTTAGCGATTCAACTGATAAGACCTTTTTTAAAGAAAATTAAATTTTCTACAAGTTTGTCCTTTACATTTTTTTAAAGAATCCACTTTTGAAATATCTTAAAAAATATGAGAATTTTTCACTAAAATAAAATTTAGTGACCCGTACCATCATACAGGTGCAGATTGGCTCATAAAGCATTTTTGATTAAGAGTAAATCCCTTTTTGAAACAATCCAATAGCATAAAATGCGGCTGAGATATAGATATTTTAAAAAAAAGTTTACCTGTATATTTTCAGGGATTTTGTTTTTGAAAATGTATATACAGCTACTTTGTTGGTTGGTATCTATGTACTCACAGAACACAAGTGTGCAGAGATAAACCAAGTGTGTAACCAGTGGCGTATCACAAAAAATATAAAAAACTTCTAATGCATATTTTTTCTTTATCTTTGGAAAAATATTTTTCCTTTACTTCTTATGTCAAAAGGTATTCCGTATTTTAATATATAACATTAATTACATAACACCCTGTATACAGCTAAACCAAGCACGGATTTATTATCCACGACCAAAAATTATGTTTACGTGTCCGAGCGTTTATCTGTGATATTTTCACCTCCCTACAGTGTTATCTTTATGTTTAGTATTTTAAAGCTATAATATTTTGTTACAAAAATTTATTTCGAGGGCATAAAATCAGAGAGGCGTAAGTGCAAACATGGAAAATTTTACTGGACAAGTTTAAAATATTTCATTTTAGCGCATTCTCCTCTCTGCTTTGATGCCTTTGATATTAAAATGTACCTAACCTGCTTAAAAACAAATGAGGAGCATCCGTGCAAAACCGGCTAAATCCATTTTATTCAGTTTTTTGTTTTTTTTTTATTTCGCATCTTTGGGTTCATTTCTATCAACAACCAAGATAACTCGGTTTAAATCCGACTATATCCATGTTAAAATCACATTTAAAAGGTAACTTTAGGAGCAAAACCGGCCAAATCCACGTTTTTATAGCAAACCCGGCTATATCCAATAAATAATAATGATGATGACTACTACTAAAATTTGTTCTGTTTATTCATGTTTTCACTAAATTTATTTTGTTAATATTTTTGAATAATAAAGGTTTTTTCACATTTTATTCGTAGGTTTTTGAGCAAAACATTTTTTGAAATTTAGGCCTTAATATAAAGGTTTTCAAAACGAAAGTATGTCTTATAAATCAAGTACCATAAAGCCCACAAAACCCGTTTGCCAGGAAACCGAGAGTTTTTGCCATTTTCCCAACATTTTATTAAAGTGGATATAGCCGGTTTTGCACGGATGCTCCTCAAATGTTAATGTAAAACCTATGGTAAAACACCTAATAAACATCATACATAGCTACATAACCATATTTTTGAATATCCACTTAACTAATCTCAACATTTCCGTTGCAATTTAATCTTTCAGGACGTTCGTCACGAGCGATATCGCTCAGATCAGAGAGGGCCATGAGCCGGGGTTTTCCTTCCTTGGAGCTCGATACAGTGATAGAGGAAAGATCGGATCAGGAACCGGAGGCGACAGTCATCGAGATGATGACGCCAGATGGGGACAGCGACGAGAGATAGCAAAGAATCACTCAAGTGGGTCCTGACAGGTAACGAACAGTTCAGGCTTTTAAGTTTTGGTATTGAGCGAAAAAAATGTATATTTTAGTCTTTTTTTAATATTTCATGAAAATTGGGATACGGCTCTAATTTTTAACGAAAAATATTTTACCCCAAAAATAATTTTTCTGTAAAATCAATGGAAAGACCACAAAACGATTTATTTTCTTCTTAGTTTAGTTTTAGATCCCCTTTTAAACTGTAATTTGGTGAAAATTCATTTAAGGTCAAGCAGGCCGATACTGCAAAAAATATAAGCCAAATTCAATCCAATTTTAACGCAGCACTAAAGTTAATCATTTTAAACAACAAATAAAGAAAAATACAATTTGTCATCTAGTGACAGTATTTTCCATAATTAAAATAGCATATATCACAGAAGAAACATTATTAAAGCTTATAGTCATTAATCATGACATATTTTGTTTGATTAATATTTCCCCTCGAATATTTTGATTCAACAGGTTGACGTCCATTAATATTTGTGTCAAGCACATTGTTATGATTTTTCATTTGAGCATTTTTTTATTTATATTATCGGTTTGCATACGACTGTTCCTCCATTTATTGCCTGTACTTAATTTGACACCTGAGAATATTTTTGTTTCTATCCTTTCTATAACTATGTTTTTAGACTGCCTTAAAAGATGTAACTTATTTTTTTTATTTCACTGACAATACAATTCATTAATATTAGAACCAATAAAATGCCAGTATTCCATAGCTACGCATTTTATCACAGCGACAATATTTTTTATCACCTTGTTTACACGTTGCTAAGGATTTTGACACTTTTCTTGATTTGACATTTGAAGAAATTTAAATCCTGTGTTTGTTATATGATTAAAATATTGAATTATAAACTCTAAAAGATCGATGGAGTTGGTGTAAACGATAATGAAATTAAGGCAAGTTTAAATAAATTAGGTTCATTAAAGTATTTTTATATTTTAAAGCACATTTTAATTTCAAATGTCAAACTAACAATTCGTTAAATCCTAAAATGCATTATATTTTCTCACTAAATATAACTCGTGGTATGATTAATAATCGCTGATATTTACTCATTGAAACATCTGCAGCTCGGTTTCAATTCAAAAATATTATCGATGATAATCATACCACTTGTTATATTATGGGTGACAATACAATTCATTATAATTAGAACCAATAAAATGCCAGTATTCCATAGTTACGCATTTTATCACAGCGACAATATTTTTTTATCACCTTGTTTACACGTTGCTAAGGATTTTGAAACTTTTCTTGATTTGGCATTTGTTGACATTTAAATACTGTGTTTGTTAAATGTTTTAAATAATGAATTATAAACTCTAAAAGATCGACGGGTTGGTGTAAACGATAATAAAATTAAGGTAAATTTGAATAAATAAGGTTTATTAAAGTCTTTTTATATTTTAAAGCACATTTTAATTTCAAATGTCAAACTGACAATTCGTTAAATCCTAAAATTCATTATATTTCCTCACTAAATATAACTCGTGGTATGATTAATTATCGATGATATTTACTCATTGAAACCGAAGCAGCACATTTCACTCGTCCTGTGGACTCGTGAAATCTGCAGCTCGGTTTCAATTCAAAAATATCATCAATGATAATCATACCACTTGTTATATTATGGGTGAAAATTTGATATTTTAAATACGTAAAACAATAAAAAATATGTTGTCTAGTACTTTCACGTTCTTGCCCAAAGATCCGATTTTGTTCGTTGATTCAACTCCAAAACAACAAAATTTTCTATTCAGATGGTGTTCATTGAATAAATTTGCTGCACCATTTCCGAACATTAAAAAAAAGGGTGATCATTTCAACTCTTTTCGCAATACTGTTGAATAAACAGTTCTTATACATAATTTCCTTTCAAATTCCTTATTTGTACTTTTTATGTGAATAGGAAACGAAGATTTTTTTTTATTTGGCCATGGCCCCACCGAAACAAAATTTCTAAATTTCTTCAATATTTGTAAGTTGGTCGATAACCAATGATATACAGGGTGTTTCATAATATATGCGCAGGACTTCAGGATGGGATAGCTCATCCAAAAAAATGAAAAAAGTCGCTATTAACTTACCCTCTAAAATGCACAATTTTCGAGATACAGGGTGTTGAAATTTTAGAAAAAAAATCGTTTTTTTCGATTATCTCTGGAACCGTTTGTCGTACAAAAAACAGCTTTTGTAAGCATTTTCTACTCATAATAAGCTATATTTGTTCCAGAAAAAAAATTTTTTACTCATAATTGGGGGAGATTTTGAAGGGCAGGTGTTTTTCTCCTCAACTTCAACGCCCCTGAAAAAAGTACGGTTTTGAGAGGCCCATTCGAACCGCCAATGTTTTCTACACAAAAAAGGTACTCTTGGTCATAAGCTCTAAAGTTGACCGTTTTCGAGAAAAATCAACTTTTATGTTTAAAAACATGGTCAATTTAAAAAAAAAAATTTTATTACTAATTAAACAAAATTTATTTTAACGTTAGAAAAAGTAACAAAACCAAACAATAATTGCAAAATAAAAAAAAAATAAATTATGATTTTTACACAAATGCTGAAATGTTCGAAATGCGTTACCTTTACGGTTTGGAGAATTTAGCAAAGATAACTTTTGAATCATTTTTTATTTTGCAATTATGGTTTGGTTTTGTTACTTGTTCTAACGTTAAAATAAATTTTGTTTAATTAGTAAAAAAAAATTATTTTTTTTTTAAATTGACCATGTTTTTAAACATAAAAGATTTTTCTCGAAAACGATCAACTTTAGAGCTTATGACCAAGAGTACCTTTTTGTGTAGAAAACATTGGCGGTTCGAATAGGCCTCTCAAAACCGTACATTTTTCAGGGGCGTAGAAGTTGAGGAGAAAAACACCCGCTACCCCTTCAAAATCTCCACCAATTATGAGGAAAAATTTTTTTCTGGCACAAAACATAGCTTATTATGAGTAGAAAATGCTTACAAAAGCTGTTTTTTGTACGACAAGCGGTTCCGGAGATATTCGAAAAAAACGAATTTTTTTCTAAAATTTCAACACCCTGTATCTCGAAAATTGTGCATTTTAGAGCGTAAGTTATTAGCGACTTTTTTCATCTTTTTGGATGAGTTATCAGATCCTAGATAAAATTAAGAATCATTAACATTTTCCATATAGTTAATGATAATGTTTTTGTTACCCAATGTTTATAATTGCGTACCACACAATTATTTAGCGTGCTGATATAGGCACTTGTTATTATAGTTTTGACCATGAAACAATTTAACTGTTTCTTCAATTGTAGCTGTAATTCTCATCGAATTTATCAATATTATGCTGCCTTTGCAGGTAAAAAACAGCTTTTTTAATGTCTAACATAATAAATTGGGTGTTTAATTTTAGCCAATTTATACCTAGTGTGTAACGCGATGAATTATGGATGGCCATCGCCATCTCTACCCATTCTTCTCAGTGGTAACCACACTTTCCGTATAACCAGCTATGAAGGCTCGTGGATAGCGGTGATGCCTTCCATAGGCAAAGTGTTCGGCATTATATTCGCAGGACTAATCGTGGACTACATCGGCAGAAAGAAATTGCTATTGTACACTTCCATACCTTTTTTCGTGTCCTGGTTGATGGTGGGGTTTACTCGAACATCATCGTTAATGTTCATAGGAAGATTTATCGCAGGACTGAGTGACGGTTCGTTTTCAGTGATTCCAATGTATTTGGCGGAAATTTCCGAACCAAAAATAAGGGGACTGCTCACTTCTTTCTGTTCTGTGAACGTTGCCGTTGGACATTTGTTGATCAATGTTATAGGATCGAATTTGCCCATAAGCACGACAGCGTTCGTATCGTCGACATTCCCCCTGGCTTTTTTCTTACTCTTCATGTGGTTGCCGGAGAGCCCCTATTTTTATCTCATGAAAGGAAATGAAAAGGCTGCCAAACGAAGCTTACAAAAATTTCGAGAATCATCGGAAGTAGATGCTTACTTTGATTTAATATCAAAAGGCGTCAAAGAGCAAAACGAGAACCGAGGAAAGTTCTTGGATTTATTTACGGATCAATTCAATAGAAAAGCTCTTATTATTGTAGTCGGTTTGAAAACTATACAACAGTTGAGCGGAAATATTGCCATCATGTTTTACTGTCAGATAATTTTTGTGGAATCAAAGGACTTTGTGTCTCCGGGCCTGGCAAGTAGTTTATATTTCTTAATAAAAGTTATTGTCACTTCAGTGTCGTCTTTTATAGTGGATTCCACCGGCAGACGTCCGTTATTGTTTATGTCAACTACAGGAAGTGCACTTTCGCTGTTTTCCATCAGCGCGTTTATGTACGTTAAAAACTCAACCAATCTAGACACTACCGATTTTGAATTTGTTCCTGTGGCCTCTCTAATTGTATTCGCAGTGTTTTTTAGTTTGGGACTGCAAACAATTCCCGTGGTAATGGCAGGGGAAATGTTTCCGACGAACATTAAAGCTTTTGCCTTGGCGCTTGATGATATTTATTTTTGTGTAATTTCTACACTCGTGTCTACATTTTTTTACTGGTCAGATGAAACGTTTGGTATGTCAATTCCGTTTTTAGCCTTTGGAATATTTTGTGTTTTAGGATTAATGTTTATTTATTTTTTTGTGCCGGAAACCAAAAAGAAATCTCTAGAAGATATTCAGCGAATGTTAAAAGGGGAAAAATTATAGATAACTTTTCTAATATTGGACAAAATTTAAATCTTAATAAAACTTTCATGAAGTAAATTTGTTTAAAAATGCAATAACATTTAACTTTTATAAAGATTTTCCCCCCTTATCGTATTCCAATATTAAAAGAGAATTATTATTATAAACAGCATACGGTGAACTAAATTAAAAAAAAATTAATTATTATTTATATTGTATAAAGTCTTAAATTAACTAAATATATCTTTGCTTGGCAATTTTACCTTTTATATCCGTTGTAATAAATGTTTCGCCAAAGCTAGCTTTGGCTATCATCATAAATCTATTTTCAAAGCAGACCTGAAAAATCTATTTATGAGATATACTTTTTTAGGATAATATTCTTTCATAAAAATTTGTGTTTATTTACATTATTTATATTCTGAAATACAAATAAATGGAGATCATATATTCTAAAATAATATTCCATAATAATAAAAGTTTAATGGTAAGCATATGTATTTTTATTGTTTTTTTGGGTTTTTATATTATTGAATTCTCGATGATGGAATACAATTTTCAGATAATTTTACGTAAAAAAGCTGCTCTTGCTACAAAGTCATGGAGCCAACCGTCAGGGCCGTCTCTAAGGTTTTGGCCGCTCCGGGCAAATTTGAAACGGCCGCCCTCTCGAAATACACCGCCATAAAAAATACACTACAAACATTTGGAAACATTTAATAAAAAGTTATAGTAAACTTAAAAACTCAACATATCAAAAAAATATATTAAATATAACAAATTTTGTCTATAAATAAAATATTTTATTTTACATATCGCTACCTTGTTTTAATATGGTTCTATCTGCCATTATCTCAAAAATGAAATTTTTGCATAAAAAGGATCTACGTATGTACAATATAGAAATCTTTTTAGAAAAGCTCTTAATATTGTAGTTGGTTTGAAAACTATACAACAGTTGAGCGGAAATATTGCCATCATGTTTTACTGTCAGATAATTTTTGTGGAATCAAAGGACTTTGTGTCTCCGGGCCTGGCAAGTAGTTTATATTTCTTAATAAAAGTTATTGTCACTTCAGTGTCGTCTTTTATAGTGGATTCCACCGGCAGACGTCCGTTATTGTTTATATCAACTACAGGAAGTGCACTTTCGCTGTTTTCCATCAGCGCGTTTATGTACGTTAAAAACTCAACCAATCTACACACTACAGATTTTGAATTTGTTCCTGTGGCCTCTCTAATCGTATTCGCAGTGTTTTTTAGTTTGGGACTGCAAACAATTCCCGTGGTAATGGCAGGGGAAATGTTTCCGACAAACATTAAAGCTTTTGCCTTGGCGCTTGATGATATTTATTTTTGTGTAATTTCTACAATCGTGTCTACATTTTTTTACTGGTCAGATGAAACGTTCGGTATGTCAATTCCGTTTTTAGCCTTTGGAACATTTTGTGTTTTAGGATTGGATGGATGGATTTGTTGGGTGGAGGGTAGCCACATTGTGGCTACATGCACTTAGGCCACAGTTGGCCCTTTGTACTGCCCCCGAGATCCATTTCCCCATTTGTGTTTGCTCAATTTTTTTTTTTTAATCCAGCCATCCGAGTTTCCGAAAGAAATCTAGAAAGACGGCTGGAGAGATGGAGCTAATGTTGGTTGCATCAACCCATTCTTCTCCTAAAGTGGATTTTCTGAATTCGAGAAGAGCAGGACATTCACAAATAATGTGTATTACATTCTCTTCGCCCCAGTTACAGGCTCTGCAAAGAGGACTGTCTACTTTTCTTATCGTATGAAGATGTTTGTTTAGTCTACAGTGTCCCGTTATAATTCCGACAAGGTCGGAGAGGTTTTGACGAGATAGCTGTAGACTGTACCTGGCCAGCTTGTCAGATGGATTAGTGATAATATTTTTGGTCTGACGACATGAGCTTAGATTAACCCATCTTCTTAGTTGTTTTTCATGGGTTAGTTTTTTTATCTGGACTTTTAAGGTTGAGTTCGTAAGTGGCAGGACAGGTTCAGGGCCCACTGGCAGCTTTTCCGATCCCTGTCTTGCCAGTTCATCAGCCTTTTCATTTCCTTCATTACCATTATGTCCTTTAACCCATACTAGTTCTAGGACATTATTAATCGTTATCAGCTTCAAAGCAGCAATGCATTCCGCTACCAGTCCCGAGTCAACTATATTGTGACTCAAGGCCAGCAAGGAGGCCCTGCTGTCTGAGGAGATTCTTATTGTTTTTCCATGTATTTGGAGCTCTATTACTTTACGAGCAGCCTCCAGTATGCCTGTGATTTCACACTGGAATATGGTCGCATAGACACCCAATGATATACTGAGGCGTATGGATGGGTTCTGACAATATACTCCAGCTCCAGAGCCTGAGTCGGTTCTGGATCCATCTGTAAAGATAGAAAGATCAGGCGAGGTATTTGGGTGTCCATTTATCCACACCTGATAGGGAGTATTAAAATTATAGCTCCGCACAATCTGGTCGCGCACTGCACTCAGAATAGGTGTCTGTCGGACATTCTTTTCCAGGATGCAGGTGTGACGTTTGCTAGAGATATTTTCTTTCCACATTTTAGTGGTCGAAAGCCTCAGAGATGATCTCAGTGCATCCTCCTCTACGAACAGATCCAAAGAGGGGATGTTCAGGATTGCTTCCATGGCTGCGGTTGGAGTTGTGCGCATGCTGCCTGTAACAGCTAGACATGCAAGCCGTTGCACATGCTCTATTTGTTTTGCTGCAGTAGTTTGTTTGATTTTGGGCCACCAAACGACAGATCCATAGCACAACATTGGTCGAATGACTGCCGTATATAACCAGAGAACTATCTTTGGGGATAGTCCCCACGTCCTTCCGACAGTCCTTCTACACTGCCAGAAGGCCACTGAGGCCTTCTGAATTTTGTGCTTTAGATGACTACTCCAGTTAAGTTTGCTGTCTAGAATTATTCCCAAGTACTTGACTTGGTTTGTTAGTTCCAGACAGGTTCCAAATAACTTAGGCATTTTGAGGAAGCCAAGTTTTCTTTTTCTGGTAAATAGAATTAATTCCGTCTTTGCAGGATTTACAGAGAGGAAATTCCTATTACACCAGTTTTCAAGTATTGGTAGGCAGTGGACTGTATAACTGTGAGAAATAGGGGATGGTGGTGTTAGTTGACTGAATTCTGTTACAAGATAAAACGTGGGCAGTAAGAATATTAATAAAGTCCTACCTTGTGACTGGTGCTGATGACGACACTCAGGGCCCTGGTCTGGTTTCTGGCTGTCAGCATTGGTTTCAAGCGGTTGAGATGCACAAGCGGGATAAAGCGGGATTAAGCGGGATAAAGCGGGTATAATGTCGCGTGGTAGATCACTCTTGCGCGGGGATGCTCGCGGTTCGAACTCTTATTAATTAATACACTTACGCCCTCACGCGGTTAAATGGGTAATTAAAAATAGTTGCGATAAACATGCGCGTTGGGGGGCAATAAGCTAAATATGATATTTAAATAAATGTAATCAAATTAAACAAATATTAAACATTTCGCGAAGACGAAACATTCTGGCGGCCATTAAAACCATGGGTTTTAAGCGAGAGAAAAAAACTAAAAATAGCTAAAAATAAATTAAATTTGCGAATTTATAAGATAAATTGTCCAAAAATTAAAATAAAAGAAAATACCTCTAGGTATAAATAAACAAAATTAAACTTAAAAAAGGCGGCGTTATGCCAATCATTAAAGATCGGCTTGCGGTAAAGGACACACTTTAACAACAGGTCGCTTAAAGGTGCCTAGGTTTGTTCGCACTGTAACAACCCTGACAACCCCGTCTTTACCGGGGTGAAGCGTTTCAACACGGCCAAGGCGCCATTGAAGGGGTGGCGAAAGCTCGTTCTTGAGGAGAACTACAGACCCCACCTTAATGGGACAAGACTCGGATGTCCATTTTATGCGCTGGGATAAGGTGTGGAGATATTCTGCATGCCAACGTGCCCAGAAGTCCTGGTGCATACGCTGCAACAGCTGCCAACGGGATAAGCGGTTTAGCGGAACGGATTGTAAATCGGGATCGGGAAGACATGATAAAGGTTCCAGAGTCAGAAAATGACCTGGTGTAAGGGCTCGAACATCATTGGGATCTACGGAAAATGAGCACAACGGTCTACTATTAAGGATAGCCTCAATTTGCGTTAACACAGTATAAAATTCTTCATAAGATAGAATTTGTTCACCAATGACTCTATAAAGATGTGTTTTGACCGATTTAACGCCAGCTTCCCACAAACCTCCGAAGTGCGGAGCGGAAGGAGGGTTAAAACTCCATTTGAGACTTTCGGAAGCAGCCGCGGTTTTAAAATAACTAAGAATTTGCTTATTTGCACCAACAAAATTGGTGCCACAATCGCTGAATATTTGACAACATCTTCCGCGACGTCCAATAAAGCGGCGTAAGGCTGCAAGAAAGGCTTCGCTGGATAGGTCAGAAGCTAATTCTAAATGAATTGCCTTCGTGGCAAAACATATAAAAACACATATATAACCTTTTATTGTTCGAGTACCGCGGTTTTTACTCATTAGTAAAGAAAATGGGCCAGCGTAGTCTACGCCGACAACCGAAAAACATTTTAATTGCGAGATGCGTAGGGGTGGCAAATCCCCCATTTGAGGTTGCGGAGATTTTGGATTTAGTTTCCAGCATCTTAAACATTTTGAAGTTACTTTGCGTATGACTTGTTTTGAAGACAATATCCAAAAATTCTGTGCTAATAAATACTGCATTGTTTGAGTACCTGGATGTAAATGTTTATTATGCGTTTCCTGAACTAAAAGCTTGACAAAGCGGTGGTTACCAGGTAATAACGCGGGATGTTTTTGTTCAAAACTCAAATTCGAGTGTCGAAGCCGTCCCCCCACCCTAACAATATTGTTAGAGTCAAGAAAAATATTTAATTTGCGTAAGTATTTAGATACAGGGCGATGCTTTAATAGCGCAGAAATTTCGGCAGAAAAGTGAACTTTTTGTA